CTTAAAAACCATTAAACATATTATTTTTATTCAATTCCATCATTTAAATGATCTATAATAAGAAAATAAACAATTTAAACAAAAGAAAACCCACTTCTATTCAATTAAGTTATCTGTAGAATTATATTTTTAGCAGATCGTTACCAGTACATAGAACATTTGTTTTCAATACTAAAAAGTAGCATCTAAATTAGAACGTGTTTAATCGCTTAAATATTTATATAAATGCATAAAACTATCATTGTCAAAATTATTTATATAATTAAGATCTAGCAAGATTCACAATAGCATTTTATAGTCAGATAAATATTAAATCTTACGATATCTGAGTGTCATTGAGATTTTATACGATCTTCTTACAATTTTTCCACATGAGTAGTCTTTTAGTAATTTATAACAAAGTCACAAAAAAAATATAATTATTGGTCTATAAGATTATCAGGATATCTTCATGGTTTTAAATCACAATTGACTTGTAACAAGAATTGTTAGTTCTTTTAGTTTAATAACATTTAACAGTTTAATTTGAAAACCTGTATGTTAATATAGGACTTGTTATCTAAATTTAGAAAATTAAATTTAAATGAATTTCTATTAACACATGTAAATGAATATTCGATCTCAGCTGACAAGTCAACAATTTAAAATGAAAAATTATTGTTCTTTTGTTTTTCTTAAGGTTATCATTCAATAAAATCATATAAATGGCTTATCAGCAAAGAATAGACGATGAGAACTAGATAAATTGTTTGTTAAAATAGTTTGTTTCTGTTATCCTTTAAATTATGTCATTTTTCTTTATTATATAATTTCAATCTATTTATGTATATACAAGACATATGAGTCAATCTATAGAAAAAAACTCTTATGAGTACTCGTTAGAGTTCAAGAACAGTATTTATAAACATAAAATTGCTCAAGTACTCACGCGAGCAATTTCAGTGCTTATGTTGGTAAGTCATACTCGCTTGATGATTATTGCCATTAGTGTAACGATGAAGGTTAGGCTTGTCTAATATTTTGTCCTTATCGTATGTTTTGTCCTTAGGATGCACTTTATCCTTACTCTAAGTTTTGTCCTTATCCTCTGGTATTATATTTCACATCATTATATTGTGATATTTGCTTAGTTTTGATGCCTGCGTATATAAAGTGTAGAAACATTTGTATGCCGGTGCGATTGATGATATGAAGAAGCTGAATAAAGTGTAATTCCATCTTCACTAACCCTTCTTCTATCTAAAAATTGTCACATTTAGAGCCCGTCAGCTCTAAAATTTTCGAATGCAGACTAGGTCGAATTAAACTTGGATACTCTCACTGAATATTTCTAATGGAAATTGAATAGTCACCTTGAAGATAAGAAACACTTTTTCTCCGGTTTTCTTTTGTATTCGATGACTAATGCACATATTGCACTTCTCAGACGACTATAGCCGTCGGGTCTAAAGTGTTCAGAGTCGATTAATAGGAAACATTCACACCTGAACGCATTCAGGACCAATCTGATGGACTCTCATTTTTCCTAGGATAATACTGCTTAGAACAAATATGACATCAACACCATTTGTATTCATTTTTCGTTGAAGTTTCATACTGATATAGATGTTACTTTTAAAATCTAATTTACTAATGCATCAATTCACTCATAGACTGACTTTTTTAATGGCATATATTATCAAAAGAATAAAAGTGTTCTGTTCTAAATATATAAAACCAAAATCGAAATAATTGATTCTTACATTATTAAATCTAATTGGCATTTTTTATCATTCTAATTGATTGAATATTCAATGAAAATGATACATATTTATTTAGAAATATTTTTTTGATAAACTATTTAACAAGATAGAAAATCTATTTCATCAATACTGAGTCTAGAAAGAAAGTTAAAAGAACACATGTCTCTTTCTCTAATTAATGTGGTATAATTAATCATATGTCTGAAATACCTTTTTTTTTTATTTGTTAATATATTGTGTGATTATTACAATGTTAATCCTTGTTCTGCATAGAATACGTCATTGAATTTGATTAAACGCAAATGAAATTCATTGTTAAATTTGAGACCAATTAATTTGGAATTAACTAAAGTCTAAACACGCAAATTAATAATTTATATTACGGCGTAAATTCTAGAATTTTCTTCGAGAGTTCAATATCGAAATTTTTATTGTAAATATACTTATGAAATGTTCCATAATTTTTCTGTTTTTTCATCATACTTTTTATTCATTGATTTATTTCAAATGATAGATCGACAGATGCTGATGACTGATCCTCAGCGGTCGAAAGAGTCAATCAAAAGAAAAAACTGTTTCTATTTCTGTTTTACTTTTTTTCTTTTCACTTGTTTTCATCTTATGTTCATAATATAGATTTCTTTCTTTATTTTACTTAAGAAAGAAGAAAAGAAACAAGCTTCTAATAGCATAGAATGTTCGACGTTCATTGTTGTCAACATTTTTATATACTTTATAAAAAAAAAGAAAAGAAAGTGAGAGAGACACAGAGAGAGAGAGAAGGTCCAAAAAAATAAAATCATCATTTTTCCGATGATTGACGATTATCGAAATAGAGAGAGAGAAAGAGAGAAAATAATTGCTTTTTGTTTAAGTTTCCGTCTCCATTTTAAAACTCTATCTATAAGCAACAAAGGTTCATACCTAGTCGATTTGCGCCGATAGAGACATTATCTTACATAAAGATTTTATTCTTGTCGTTACCTACACAATCAATTAAGTGCATTTCTACTAAATTTTTCTTTTCTATTGTGATACATTAACAGATGCTCAATGTAACTATAAAGCTTTATATTTATTTAAGATTATCTAATAAATTAGTAAGATATTCTTCATCAATAATTATGGTCAGACGCATTGAAGGTACAATTGATTATGAAAAACATAATGAAGTTCTCAATGATAATCATAAAGTTCTTATTTATCTTGATGATATGACATTAACTGGTGAGTAAGAAAAGAACAATCATTTTTCAAATATATAAATAAACATGCTTTTCATATAGACATTGCTTCACAAGATGGTTCCTATATACGAAAATTTCATACAATTGCAAAATTAATTTTAGAAAATCAAGTCCGAACATTTCCTATTACGTTTTCACTGGAATATGATGAAAAAGATGTAGAGAAAACATCAAATTATTCATTACGTGTACGTATCGTAGCTGATGGCAAAACACGATTTATAACGAGCTCTAGTGTTCCTGTGCTTACAAAAGGTTATGGTGATATGGTTGATATAATGGTGGAAAAAATTGATTTAATGTAATGAAAAAAAAATGAACAACATACTTTTTCTTTTCTTTTTCGAAACGTTTAAGTTTTTTCTCTTTGTCTGTGTGTTGCGTAAAAATAATTAATCAAAAAAAACATGATAATTGTATGTAACATTCATAAAATAAAAATCTAAATAAAAAGATAAATTTCTTGTTTTTTCAAATTGAATATTATATAAAAGTTTCCTTTTTAAAAAACAGATATCTTACTGGATATGAGCATTGACCCATTCGAATTCAATAGCTTAAAATAAATACACCAAAGTATTTATTCGAGTAATTTGTCTTCGATATTTTTCTACTAGCATGGACTACTTATCAAAACCTCACTGTGATGTTAATCAAATTACAAAAAAAACCTTTGACATGCAAAAAATAAACTCGATGAGTCGTTGACACTCCGGGAAATACGATCAATATTTATTGTCTATTCATCTATGCACGACAACAAGACAAACTATCCATATTGTGACCTAGGTTATAAGCTGTGCATAACATATAAAAGTAAAATAAATTCATTTTTTATCAATAAAAATATTCATCGAAAATGAAAAAAATATCATCGAATAGATTTCAAGGTATTATTTGACTATATGAAGCAAAACTTTTTAGTTTGAGTCTGATAGTCACGTTGAAGATGGGACATGCTTTTTTTGATCGATTATTTATATTCTGGCACTAAAACATCTTACTGATTTTCTAGACCAACCTGATGGTGATCTTATAATTATCTAATAATGATTGCAATTGTTTTCTATACACCGGGTGTCCTGAGTCGGAGATGAAGGGGAAAGAGTGACTTCTTCCAATCTTGAAAAATTTTCATTTTTCTTCAGCAAAGTTTCAGCGTTTTATTGGTTTTTGTTGACCAGTTCCAAAAAAACGTGCATGGTATCGATATTTAACAAGATAAACAAAATCATTCATTCAAAAAAAAAACAGCTAGCTATTAATTTTGTTTTGATCACGTTTTCATAGAAACCAAGAGTCTCCTACACAAAGAGAATTTCTATCAGCAAACGGTATATTATATAAAAAATAAAAATATCGTTAACTTATAACAATAACAATAAATCATTGCATTTTAATTGTGGATGATTTTTAACATATCATTTTAATAAATCGTCAAATATGAGTAAAGTTTATCTTGCTTTTATTGTTAATATTTAACCAACAATGTATTATACATATGGCAAGATTAGCACAAAAAAAAATTTTAATTAAATTAAAAACAAAATTATTGACACGGATTTCACTATATGTTTATTGTAATAACAACAATAGTTACGTTCGTAATACTCCAAATATTACTCTAGCTGTATTATAAACAAACAATTGAACCGCACTCAATGTACCACTTATAAAAATTTGCAAACCAAGTCTTTTCCACAGGACTAGATAAGAACATACAATTTTGATTACAGAGAAAAAAAAACTAAATTTAATTTACCAGAAAATCCAACACGTTGTATAGCATCGAATACACTAAGACCTTTTCATTATGCAATTTTGATGCGATTGTATCAGCTGGATAACTAACAATAGCACAAAATATACCAGCTATATAACCAGCAATAAATGTTATACTAAGATCTTTAGCCTTTGTACGTTGTTCACGTGGTTTACGTATTATATATTTATTCAGTACTTCAGTCGTACATTCCAAACATGCAAAGTTCACTATTGTATATGGAATTTGTCAAAACCATAATGGTACAAGACCTTTATAAAAGCTAAATAAAATCATCATGTCTTTCATTAATTAAAAATGAATTAAATATTTATCTTACCCCCGTATTCTTTCTTCATCTAACAAAGAAAAAGAAATAATAACATTAAGACAAGATAGAATTAAATTTTTACCGTAAAATTTCGGTAAACTTTGTCTTAAAGTTGATGCCGAATTATCTTGTTTTTGAACTCGTACTTTTATTGCTTGCCATGGCGCTAAGGCAATATCAGCAAATAGTTCTGGTGAAGCACTTGCTAATAGATAAATTATTGTTCGATGGACATGAGCATTTTCTTTGCCAAATATTTCACCATAAAAAGTTTTAAAGATTCCATAAAAGGCAAATTTTTCAAAACCTTGTAATGAATAACCAATTAAAGTTGATGCTAAACCTTTAGTTAACCCAAATATACCTTTGTCTCTAAATGAATTAATGTATAATAAATTTTCTATTTGTTTTCTTTTTTGTCATTTTAAATATACGCCATGGTCACTGGAAAACCGTGAATGAAATTTTTATATTTTTCAGATTTCACTTGTAATCGATATTTTATGAGATCTTATAGTTATAGAAAATACTTCTATAAGTTCGAAAAGTATACATACCAACCAACAATCTTTTTTATTACCACAGAAGAATAACTATTAATAAAGAGTTTTTCTTCACATTAGATAAACATAACATACCAGTAGAACAACAGCGGCATGCGTTATAGCACTACTAAACATACCACTAATACCACAATAAATGTAATATTCAACTGAATCATATTCACAACTATAATATTTTATACAATAAAGAGTAAGTTATACTAACATGTTTAATTAATTGTTATACATATGTTTGCTTCTTATGTGGCATGATGATAGAAATCGTCTATAATAATCTAGTTTAACAAAAGATCGTACTATCATTCTCTATAATAAGTACAATAACATCTATGAAAATATTCATTCAATGGTAATAAAAATTTACCAAAAATTTGTTAGGAATGATTGTCAGACAGTGCATAAGTGTCAGAATAGAAATAAGAAATCTATTTTCAATTAATTTTTGCATCTTCATTGTTAGCGAATGTGTTAGTATTATTTGTGTATTCATATGTAAAGGATGCATTTGGTGATGAAAATAATTCTATGAATAGAAATAACTTTTAAAAAAGTTTTCGAAAAAAATGTAAAGAAAATTTTATTATATAAAATATTGTAATTTGAAGAAATATTCTCACTGTTTATTATTTATTAGAAGATTTCGCTTAATTAACGTAAGAAATATATTTTATCATAAAAGAAATTTTTTCTATGATTGTCTATTTTTATTGAAATAACACGTATATAATAATGTCTTCTTTTTCTTTACTCAAGGTTACACTTTGTTTTTTTTTTTCGTTTCTTTTCATAGGAGCACTTTTTTTTTACTTCTCATGATTGTTACTCATTTTTCATAAGCAAAACTAATTAAAGAAAATATAATATATTGAAATAACAATCACAAAAGTTCTCTAATTAAAAATCTGTTAAAAGAAAAACTCTATTTACAATTTATTGTTTATTCAGAATATCGCAAGACTACATACGCAAACAATGTTGATATATGATGGACCAAAACAAAAAAAAAGGAACCACGCTTGATTCAAACCATTAAATGCAAAGGAAGACAAGTTTTTGTCCTGATATTTTTTAAAAAGCCATCCAAATGACATATATTCCGTCCAAAAGAAAGTTGAATTAATTGCATGTCCTTATCAGAGATGGGCAGCTCCGACCCTTTCTATCTCCAGCTCTAGTCAATAACAGACCGCTCCTCTCCGACTCCGCTCAAGATTAATAAATATTCTGCCGACTCCGCTCTAGCTCCGCTCCTCGCCGAAAGTATCCGCTCCGACTCCGTTTCGACTCCGCTCCTGCAACAAATTTTTTTAATTATGCTTTATGATTAGCTGTGTTCAGTGAATTTCTCGTGTTAGTCTAAATATAGAAGCATATATATAAAGTACAAAAAAAGAACACATTGATTAACAATATATTTAACTTAGTTATAATATAATACGAAGAACGTTTTTCTTTTCAAGAACGGTACTCGCTTTTTTTTCATTATATGATGACACTGAATCGTTATTGTCGACGATAGTAACGGAAGATGATTCACCGATATCATGATCGCGCATTTTTTTACCATGATAATCGTGTTCGTTGAAGTGACACCTAGCTGAGAAATGTTATTCTGATTCGGCACTATTCGCCTTTCACATTTTATATTATGCAATTTCTCTCTTTCTCGACGTCATTTTCTTCGATTTCCAAAGTAACTATAGCTTAGTTCAATTAGACAAAGAAGAAGACTGTATATAAACGGTCAGTCATTGTTTCAGAGATTGCCATTGACTAAAATGTCACAATGTGCTATCCATTTCGATAATTCGCCGATGACGAGCTTTCTCTCATTAATTCTTCCGTCATTTTGTATGGAACAATAAATCGAAAACTGAGCTTATCATTGGAGCTATAAATAAAATGTCGCTCCGACTCCGCTCCAGCTCCATTTTATTTAGGAAGCGCTCCGCTCCGACTCCAGTATTAGTGGAAAAAGACTCGCTCCAACTCCGCTCTAGCTCCACCGTTCTGATGAATCGCTCCGCTCCGCTCTCGCTCCTGGAGCGGAGCTAGCTCCATGGAGCGACCGCTCCGGAGTCGGAGCTGCCCATCTCTGGTCCTTATGATTTATTGTCTAGTTTAAATATTAATGAAAACAATATAAATAAAACTAATCAAATATAATTATCTTTAATTAAACTCAGAATCCATAATTTACATGAGTCCAATCATTTTTCTTTTTTCAATGAATTGCGCTATGCCTTATTTTCCATATAAAAAAAATGCGTAGAAAGTATGTAGGTGCATCAGATAATTTGAGACAATTGGAATATGAAGTGATTGCCAGTTAAAGTTTTATGTGATATAATCAAACAAAAAGAAAGTAAAAACATACTTAGCGTCACTTGTTTCAACTGACTCTACTGTTAGATTAAATCTTCAATAAGAGAATGATTTCATAGATTGTATAATGATTTTCATAGACTCGGTAGACAATATTTAGGCTCTACTTGTACGTTGTCGTGTTACTGAAGAGAAAAACATATTTAGAAACACTAAAACTCGTAGAATGATTCTATTTATTTTAATGCAAAGCGGGTATAAAGAAATGATTGATTAGCATCAAGCAAGAAAGACTAATTCAAAACAATCATTCTTAATACATTATATGCTAGCATGATGATTAATTGAGAATGAATTTCGAACGAAATAAATACATTATTTCATCTGAAGGTGATGTACTGTATTCTATATTTCGTGTATGGAACGAAGAAGCTGAAGAACCAATTGAAAACCGACTTTGGCAAAGTATGAATATTATCAAAAAGAAGTTCGTGTTTTACGCAGTGCATTCGCTTGAGAATTATACAAGATGCACTGAAATATGATATTGATGAGTAAATTCTTAAAAGAAAGCGTCTTCTCCAATTGTTTAACTTCTTGTTCTCTTCCGATATTAGTTGCATTTATATGCAAACCATACATTATTGATACCATGCGTTTACGTATTATATATAGACAAAATAATATATTTACGCATTGATTATTGTTGTTAAATTGTACAAAAGAATCAAAAAGCAAAGTATTTGTTCGATTGATAGATGTATATTCCATCAATTTATCCAATGAAAAATCGTTATAAAACTCATCAACAACAATATGCGTTAATTGATCTTGATCATAATGAGGATATGTTTTCAAATCAATGTGGTATCAAAAATAAGCAAGATGATGAAGAAGATACTGATATGCTAAGTATTCAATGACTATCACCATTCGCATCAGATCCATTAACGAATGATGTTGTTCAAATAATTTCAATGCCAAAAGGCAACAATGTATTTTGTGAAAACACCAAAGAAAAAGAATTCCTATCAGTCAAATTCTTCGAATCAACCATGATCTCTGCTTTTCCTTAAGTTCTCGCCAAGACCAATGTCGCCACGTTGGACATTGTCGAGCGGGTTTAAAATCTAGTTCTATTCCACGGTCGAGTCTGAATGAATACGTTCTGACGTAAATCCAATTATTTTAACCGTTTATCGTTCATTTATGTTCGATTATTGAATTTCTTGGATTCCAAATGAGTATACATTATCAAAAACAATGAAATACGACTGATCGAATCTATTGTATGCGAACTGATCCAGTAATATGCGATGACAGGATATCATAGAAATTCTTCGTACCAAACGATACTTGAAACACTTTTGGTTCCTAGCATCAGAGTATAGCGACTGATATAAGAAACGAGCAGTTCTACTCATTCAGATTTTGTCTTTTTTGACAACGTGGATCGGAACGAAATCAGTTACATACAATGATATGAAACAAACAGAAAACTGTTCAAGTAATTGAGTTTTTGATGGTAAGCGTGTGGTTGAAGTAGTCACAATTCTTGATTAAAATTCTCAATATGTTCCACTAGATGTGTTCATTGAGCACTCATTCAGTCCACTTTTTAAAATTTTTTCAGACAATTTATTTAATTCAATTTCAGACAAACAAAAGGATTCAAAGATGGATGTCAAATACTTAAATTTCTTTATCAAATATCAAGCAGTGCCTACTCTGTTGCATTGACTTCGACTCCTTAAATACAGTTATTCTTCGGTGAAAGTTTTAAAATTTTATTCACAATGCTTGTGATTCACATGAACAACGACTAAAACAAGAAAAAACATGCGAAAAACGATACTCAGTACGGATTCGGTTGATTATACGACGGTCCTGATGCGGATTTTCAGCCTCTAGTCTAACGAAGGATCCACATCAGTTGATGATTCAATTATACAAGCCAAAAGATGAAATATTTCTAGGCTACCATTAATTTAATTTTGTTTCGTTTCTTCATGCTTACAATTACGACCATTTTTACGTTTCATAGCAGTTTTCGAAGATTGACATAATGAAGACGATGAATCATCAGTAGTACCATGATCAGTAATAGATGTGACGTTTGATTTTTTTAGGTTAGGCAACTCTTTAGAATCAGAAATTCATCTGTAACTGTTTTTTTCGGATGCTTGTTGTTTATCCAGATATGTTTTCAATGGTGTCTTTGTGATTTTATCTAAAGAATAATGTGATAAGCTAATGTAGTTGTATGCCAGTTTTCGAATTTTAACATAGTAATTCAAACTAATTTGTTTATAGTGTGACTTTTTTCTAGACAACGATTTCGAAGATATTGTAGGATGAATCTTCGGCGAAAGTAAAATGACCACGTTTGACAATTCTAACGCGAGTTTACCATCATCAGAATGACTTTTGAGCGTTGATTGTTTAGATAACGGTTTTGCATTGTCACTTTTATTTGAAGATAATTTGATTATCTTTATATGCTAAGTCGTAATTGAGAACTCTTAGTATATCACCTTTGCACATCATTCTTGATGATACACCCATCTTGTGGCCAGTAATAGTACCACACGATGAATATTACCGATGTGATCTATTATAATACACTGAAGATATATTATTAATAATATTGAACGATATAGTAATTATTTAATTGATTGGAAGAATATTACGAATTCATCTAATCTGTTTGAACACGGTTTGTAATACTAAAGAATATTTTGAATTTCATTTGTATTACGATTTCAGTTCAATAGTCATTCTTAGATTATAGTAAAAAGGGGCTCTTCAAAAGAAAGAGGATCAATCATAATCACGAAACCTGCATTCGAGTAACATTAGAGATCATACTAGTTCATTGTTTTTTCGGCAATTTCTGCAGATAAACAGTGAATAGTTTGAAAAGAAGGGGTGATCGTCTCTCAGTATCTCCATCTACATCCCCTATTATGTCACTGCTACGATTTTCCTATCTTTTTTTAATGTTAAAAAACCATTTGTTTTTGAATATTTTCCGATCGTTTATACCTCTCGAAGTCAGTTCTTCACTATTAGATAGAGCAATGGTGAGGATGTTTATCCGTGTAACATTCATTCAGTTCGAAGAAGTTTTTCAAAGATATGTGTAGCTGAACATTTTTTTGTTATCGATGTTAACAACTTTTCGTAGAAATCTATGCTGGGATTACAACAAAATATAGTCTAAAGAGAGCCATAAACCTATAAAGTTTCAAAATTTCCGAACATTGCTCTTGAACTATGAATTCAAGGTAAGCTTAAAAAACTCGAATGATGATACAGAAAATACGACACTGTTCGAGCTAAATTTTATTGTAATTCGAACCAGAGATGTCCATCGCGGCTGAAAATCTGCCGCTGCCGCGCCGCGACGGTTTATAAAAAAATGTTGCCGCGACGCTGCCGCACCGCGATGACTTATAAAAGAAACGCTGCCGCGATGAATTATAAAATAAACGTGCCGCAACCGCGCCGCTGCCGCGACGGTTTTCAAAAAAGTGTTTCTAATTTCACTGCTGTGACTATATCTGACCAGAGATATGGGTACTAGTCCATCAGATTTATTCAATATCAGGGCGTTTCATTTGTAAATCCTGAAATTCTATTAAATTCATACAGTTTTTCAATGTCCTCCCAAAAATATCCTGCCGCTGCCGCAATGGACATCTCTGTAATGAGCTTATTTCTTCTTCATTGATTTCACATCGTCATATTGTAGTTGTGTAATTCTATGTATGACAAAATCTTGCAGATTCTTGTTCATATGTATTGAATGTGGGGCATCAATATCAGACCAAGACATTGCAATCATATAGGGTACATTAAAAAAAAATAATTGAATTGAAATCATCATCTTTTTTATTTTTATCATTTGTTTGTCATTGAAATACTCTAACTGATTTTTTTCTATTTCGATCATTAAATATCAAATATTAAAATAAATTTGAAATAGTGATAAATCTAATCTTAATATGAATATTAATTATAAAATAATTATGTTTCAGCACTTCATGATATACTAAATTAACGCCTACAAATAAACTAGATATAAACATAGACTAGTTCGATTTAATCACGTTTTTTTCTCTATTAATCACTGAGGAACTAAAAAAAGCAAGTCTGTATCTTTTTGGAATTTCTAAATTGTGATAGAACACTTCATCGACAGGTGAGGACAACTATTGATAAAATCATAAATATAAAATGTAATATGGTATAACATGGACTAATGGATTTCGGGTTCGCTCACTTCACACAGCCTGTTGTGTTGTTTTTGTCCTTACTCACTAATATATTTTATGTTCGTTTTCTGTTTATTAACAGCTTTTATATGGGGTATAACGAATTGGTTTTTAAAACAGGGCTCGACAGGTTTACAAAAAATAAAATATGACAATCGGATAAAACAATTTGGTGCTGAAATATGGTATTTTTTCACCAACGCACAAGTACTACAAAATATATATTTTAAAATTAAAATTATTTATTGATTTTGCGTAGTACTGGATTCCATTTTTACTTAATCAATGTGGTTCTGTACTTTATTACTATAGTCTTTCAAAAACTGGTGAGAATATTTATTTATGATTTATTTTTGATTTATTTTTCTATTAGATTTTTCGACAGCTGTACCTGTAACCAATGCTTTAACACTTTTAATAACATACTTATGTGATGTTATTTCACGTCCACAATTATTAAATTCAAGTAAAAATTTTATTGATTTTCTTTAAATATATATAATAATTGCTTATAGGATTTTTGATTGGTATGCTATGTGTCACAAGTGGAGTGGCTCTGTGCGTTATATCGAAACCGCATTAAATATTTTGATTTTCGGATATGTGATATATGTATAAAGATGATTAATTAGTCTTTTTATTCATGTTTCAAACAATTATCATGATTTACAAAACAAAATACTTTGTTGTTTTCTAGATCACAAAATGTTCAATAACATTAGTAATCGAACATTTTCTATCATTCGTCATGGTTTAAAACCTTCATTTTCTATGCGAATTCAAAATGCATCGACAAGTGAGAAATAAGTTTTTGTTTTTGTTTTAGAAGATTATTTTAAAATTATTATTATTATATATAGAAGTACGCTTTAATTATGAAGATGCATTTGACCTTGAATCTCAATTAAAAGATGATGAACGAATGGTACGTGATCAATTTCGTAATTATTGTCAAGAAAAATTAATGCCAAGAGTAATTGAAGCAAATAGAAAAGAAAGTCAGTAATGTTTTTTTATTTGGAAATTTTGAACTAGATTGATTTTTTTTTAGTTTTTCATACGGAAATAATGCGTGAATTAGGTGAACTTGGTGTTCTTGGTCCAACTATTCAAGGTTTTGACGTAGTTTATTATTATTATTATTATATTTTTTTTTTAATATCAAAATTTAGGTTATGGTTGCGCTGGTATTTCATATGTTGCATATGGGCTATTAGCTAGAGAAATCGAACGGTAAGGAAAAAAGCGAGAGGAAAACAGTTTAGACTGCAATCTTAAGAAGGCTTTGAACTATCACTTTTAATATACAGGGTTGGCCATAAAAAACTTAACTCCGGTATAAGAAGTAATTTGTACACTGGTAACATTCAATTTTCGAGCTAACACCTATTACAATCGATAGGGCCGAAGAAAAGCTGCTAAATACAATTGATTTCATTTTGAAAACACTCAATTGCAGATGGAGACAAAAATAATTTATTAAAAATGATATCTGTTCTGGAATAAAAGCATCCTTGCTGTTTTTTTGATCCAGATAAAGAGAACTCCCGCTTTCGGGAGTTTTTGGAGAACGACTCATCAAAAAAAAAATTTAAAACATTCAAGATAGATATATCTCGATGCGTAGAGCAAAAGTGATCTTAGAGTTCAAATTTCCGAATGCTTTTTTTCTAGAAGGTATCGGAGTCGCATAGACCAAAAACTGTTCTCCTTTTTCAATTAGAAGACGTTCCATACAGCTGACAATTGGTTTATTTTTATTTCCTACTATCCAAATAAAAAGATCAAAATGAAGAGCCTTCTCCTAAAAATCAACAGAGCAATATTTTTCGAAACAAAAAAAAATAGGCATTTTAAACGATATATAATACCTGTAAACATAAGTTTCAACTCTATCAAGTATACTATACTGGAGAAATAGTGGCAACTCTGTATTGTTTTTGTGCAAAAATTGATTTCCAGAAAAACGAATAACAAATTCTTCTACATGTATTAAAACTTTTTTCTTCAACGAGAACGATCGAAAATTGGTCATGTTCCGTGGTGTTAAGGGTCTATGATCTATGTTCTAAGCACTTCTGAAATAAGAAATAATCATCATCATTAGGAGAATTTTGTATAGAATAGAATAATCATAGTGTAATTTTTTCGCTAGGAATTTGGATAATAGGATTCCATAAATGCACTAACCAACAACGAAGACTCCTTATTAATATGACATTTGACGGAGGATATTTTGGGGCTGCGTTAGCAATAGAAAACCAAAAATTCAAAAAAATATTGATTTTAGTGTCCAGACTCTTATGAAAAAAAACCCTCTTTTAAGTTCATACGTTATCCTCAATGAGTGTATCAGTTGTTCTATAGACATCAAATGTTAAGCCAAAAATAACTATTATTCACAGGTTTCTTTTTCTCTCAAATTACATGAAAACGTTTTCGAAATGGTAGCTTTCCATCAGTTCTATATTTTGAATGGAGAATCGAATCAAAAACTCAATGTTAAGCATGCAAAAATAATATCACCAAAAGTAGTAAGTTTTTTATGAGTCATCCTGTATCTTGACGTCTGCTGTTTATCTCTCGGAAAAATACAGTCTTTAACCTAAAATGGCATGCTTTCTTTCGTTGATAGTGTCGATAGTGGTTATCGTTCAGCATTTAGTGTTCAATCATCACTCGTTATGTTTCCGATCAGCGAATTTGGAACAGAAGAGCAAAAAGAGAAATATCTACCGAAATTAGCTACGGGCGAATTAATTGGTTGTTTTGGTCTTACGGAACCAAATCATGGTTCTGATCCTGGTTCTCTGGAAACACAAGCACATTGGGATGAAAATAAACAAGTTTATATATTAAATGGCACGAAATCATGGTTTGTAGATGAATCACAAAAAAAACCAAAATTTAATGAATAAGTTATTTTTTTATTTGTTAAGGATTACTAATTCTCCTATTGCTGATATTGCTGTTATATGGGCAAAATGTGATGATAAAGAAATTCGAGGATTCATTTTAGAAAGATCTATGAAAGGTTTTACAACACCAAAAATTGAAGGAAAATTTTCATTACGTGCTTCAATTACTGGACAAATTGCTATGGATGATGTTCAGGTACCAAAAGCAAATTTATTACCAAAAGTTAAAGGTTTAAAAGTATGTATTTAATTGAATTGTTACGAAGTTTCCAAAAGTAGTTTTGTATTTTTTAATACTAGGGTCCATTCAGTTGTTTGAATAATGCACGATTCGGTATCGGATGGGGAACATTAGGTGCTGCTGAATTTTGTCTTCATACTGCTCGTCAGTATACTCTTGAACGGTGAGTATTTTAAATTAATAGGTAGCACTTAATAAAAGGAGCAATATATTTTCATTTTTGTAGAACATTTCCTAACACATTAGATATTTCGACAGAGAGTCCTGTTTTTTTTTCTGAAGTTACTGTCTTTGTTTTTTCAGTTAACTATTCATTTGTAGGAGTAAAAGTTCAGAAAAGAGTACCTAATCAATAGTCGAACTGCGATTTCTAATTTCCTGCAAGCACGATTCAATTTATGTAACGCTTTGCTCATTAGGACAGTTGCTAAACGTTGTTCAGAAGAAAAGTACTAATGCTATTTTGAGACTTATTGTGAAAATTCATGTTTCCAAAGTGAGACTTGATCTTTGACACGTTTGTTCTCATGCAGCTCAATGTTGAATATTATTCTTAACAAAATGATATGATTGCTAAATTGAGGAATAGACACATCAGGAAAAGAACAATGATATAGTTACGTTAGAAAAAGATATTTCTTTTAAAATCCAGAAATATATATCAAATGATACAAAGTTTTGTAACATGTTTAAAACTTTAGTGGAATTCTTATGAAAAATGTTTTATTTTTTGACATTCGCAGTTAGATGATTATCTTTTGAATTTTTCATCGACAAAAAAGAAACCATTTATTTGAAAAACAATGACAGTAGTTTTGTAGAATAGAAAATTCTCAATCGAAGTCTCTCATGTATTGGGAAATGCTTTAAAAAATAGGAAAATATTTCGTTCGGTTTATTATGTATCAATCATTACGTATCTAAATATATATGTAAAATTTTATATCGAATAGAAAACAATTTGGTCGACCGTTAGCACAAACTCAATTGATTCAAAAGAAATTTGCTGATATGTTAACTGAAATAACAATTGGTCTTCAAGCATGTTTTCGTGTTGGTCAATTAAAAGATGAAAATCGGCATGAATAAAACTATGAATGTTATTTATTCGAACTTTTTTTTTTGTTCTAGAGCAACACCTGAAATGATATCATTAATAAAACGAAATTCATGTGGTAAATCACTTGATATAGCTCGTCAATGTCGAGATATGCTTGGTGCTAATGGAATCTCAGATGAATATCATATTATTCGACATGTTATGAATTTGGAAGCCGTTAATACATATGAAGGAACACATGATATTCATGCATTGATACTCGGTCGAGCTATAACTGGTTTGCCAGCTTTTGCTACATCGACTTCACAACCAACCGTGTGAAAAACTGCGTGTGTGAGGAAAGAGAACAAGTAATCGATGACTTTTGAGGCTCTTTTTTCCTTTTTTTCCAATTAAATATTTTATTTCGTCGATGCATGAATCGACCTATTTTAAATGTATTGAAATATAAAACGAAATACAATTGAAAAAAGACCTAATGATGTGTGGAATAGATGACAAGCTGTTGTATTTAATATAGCATCATAGTATTGCCAGTCCCAAAAATAATATTATCAAATCAAGGTTTTTTTTTGCTTATCGAATTTATCAAATACTAATAACGCATATCACATCGATCTATATAAGAGTATTGACCTGCATTTACATGGAATGGATTCATTAGTTATACCAATTTCTTATTGGAGTTACTGGGCAAATGTAGTTTATATTCTCGGTATGTTTGGATATTTAACAATTGATACAATTAACTATATATTCAAATCATTTAATGAATCTCTTTCTTGTTTTGTCTATGTTTTTCTTGCTATTTTATTTGTAATTGATGCTGCTTTATACACAATTGATTGGTATATGTATGCTGTAAAATCACGTCAAAATAGAAATGAACCAATACAATATGAAGCCGAATCAGTTGCTTGTCTTTTTCAAAATCTTGGTAGTTATTTTTATTTGATTAGTGCTTTATTGGCTTTTAATAAAGGTCAGTTTATGAAAAATATTTTATTATTTAATCTTATTGGTATTAATGCGTTTTTAATTGAATCTGGTTTTATATTTCTTGGATGGCGTATTTCATTTCGAAGAAAACCTTCAACTAATCCAAAACGTGGTTGTGTTCCTCAAGTAATTAATAAAGATATTAATACATAATATACTCTTGTCGTCTATATCTAGGATGTTTATATGTGGGCATTTATAATGTATACTGTTGCTAGTTTGATTTATCTATTTGCTACAACGTTAGCTCATCGTCTTTATACGAATCTAAATATTGTAAACCCAACTAGTGTACTTATATTACAAATGTTAGGTGATCTTGTTTATCTGTTCGATGCCTATCTTTATTATGAATGTTGGCAACGTGATAAACAAGACTATGATATGAATACCGAACGACAAAGATTACTTGCACTTAATTTAGTAAAACAATTAGTAACAGATAATTTTAATTCTGATATAAAAACGGATGAAAATAAATAAAAAATACTATTATAAGTTCAATTTCATTACTGTCATTATATCGACTTTTATTTTTGTCTTACATGAGAATTTTCCTAGCTTTAATTTGTCGTTTGAATCCATATTAGACTCTCAACAAGGTCTCTGTAAGACTAAAAAGACTTACAAAGATTTGTGTCCATTCCAACAAATTGTTTTTTGTCACAAAAACTTAGTTTCTTGGAAATTTAATCTGCGGACAAAGGAATGTTATTCTTGGCTGAAATTTTCAAAATGTTCAAAGAGTCATTAGACCTATCTCTGCACTGAATGGTAGATCGAAAATTAAATAAAGCGATCATAACTTGACTCGAAAAATTCATGGGCACGAACTTTTTAAAAGTATTTCTAGTCTTAGTGAAACTTTTTTTGTGAATTTCATATAAGCTCAAGCAGCAAGTAAATGAAGATATCACAAACTCAATTTCTGAATAAAATCTTGCAAGAAAATTTCATTTAAGTTGTTTGATATTTTTCTTCCATTATAGTATATTAACTGGTGTTATTCGAATTAAGAAAAGCCAATATTTTTGAAAAATAAAAAAGCTTACGACACTTGGTATTCTCAGGCGGTCACCCATCCAAGTACTAGCCGAGCCTAACGTTACTTAACTTGAGTGATCGAACGAGAACTAGTGTATTCAACGTGGTATGACCGTGAGAATTTGCTAAAAACCACTTTTTCGTATATATTCACGTTGATGACTTCAACTGTAATCAACAAAATACCTATGCACACTTAACTGATTTGATAATCGTGCAAGAATTTTCTATGATTATGAATAATGCTGAGCATCATTAGATGAATGTACACATTTATGAACATAATCATTTCCAACCTAAGAAACGATACTTTGTATTACAATAAAGACTTTTATTAATCCTTTTGTAATGTTTGAATTTTTTCGTTTCTGCAATGCTTACAACGATGCAAGTGTTATATAAGTTGCTGAATGAATTCATTTATCTGAGCGTTAATTGAATTGGACATGAAAAGGATAACATTGCGCGATTCGAATGGAGTTTTCCTGACAATTTGATTTCATATTTCCATTTGTCAAGCGTACCCATTAAATAAAGGACCATTAATCCGACCTTGAAAATTGAATGAAAATTCTTGATAGATAAAGGAAAAAAAGTGATCAAACCTGTGTGTTGATTAAACTTTATATTCTTTTTTTTTTTTTATTTCCGACAAGTCACACTTACATGATGATCTATTCATTTGAACATAAAAAAGTAGTTCTCACAAATATTAACTATTGAGTATAATTCTTAAATTGTTTTCATTTTCATATATTAACTTTTCTCTGATATTTACATTAAAAACAAATGTCAAATGTTAGAAGACTAGGGTTTGTTTCAGATTTCCTAGAGAAACTCTTTTTCACAACAGCCTGTTCTTGATAAGAGTACATGATCAATTATAGAGATGGAAGGTATCAAAGAAATTTCTCTTCGAAGGAGAATTTCTTTTTCTGACTTTGGGTGGCACACAGTAAAATCCACACAATTTTTTCTTGACAATTGATTTAATGAGTAGAAGTTTATTCCTACGTCTAAAATAATTTTAATAAGTGAAAATAATTACAACACGATGTTTCGTATGATTGCAGATCTATTTTTCATGTGTAGGCTAACGAAGACTAGTACAACAAAGTTCTATTGTTATTTCTTTTATTTTTTTCATCTATTAGAGTGTTTCAACAAACAAACAAAAGTAAACAATTTTTTCAAATTGTCCAATTCAAGTCTTATATACGTATATGTCTACTATCAATTTATTCAAATAAAATTTTTCTTTTTTTATGTATTTACAAAAAAGAAATATAAAAATCGTAAGTACACAACTATGAATTAGATTCAATATTTTGATTTCATTGTTTTTCTAATGATGATAAATTCAATGTGTGATAAGTAGAATTTGTTGGCGATGACCGACCTGATTGTTCTGATAATAAACGTGTAAGTGTTGTTTTATTTGATGGTTCAGATGATTTAACCACTGTTGACGTAGCTGATATTTTCATTTGCATATCTTCTTGTTTTTGTTGATGTTTAATTTTATTGAAGTTTCCTATTTTATTTTTTGTTTTACTTAAACAAAGTCGACTATGATTTAATATAAATTCTTTGAATTCTGCAAAATTCGATTGAAAAAATTGATAGATTTGTGTCAGTAATTGACGATATAATGAAAATACACGACGATTACATACATAAACAGCAAATATAAATAAACCAGGTGTAGCATTAAGTAAAATAAATAAATATTTAACAGATGCAACAAGAAAACGTTTAAAACCTTTTTGATTATCAGGTAAAAGAAATAAAATAAAACCAATGGTCCAACCAAAACCGGCTAATACAGCCATACGCATATAGATTTTAACATCATGTTCACCAGGTACAACTTGTTTTTTACGTTGAAATTTACGTTCAACTTGAACTCGAACTAGAAGAAAATAAGAGTCATAAAACAAAAGAAAGAAACAAAATTAAGAAAAAAACTATATTTTACCTTTTCTCAAACCTCGTCGAATACTTCGAACAGTCAAGGCATATAAAATAAAATTTATCACGAGAATAATTGCTACCGGACAACCAAATAATACAAATCGCATTAATGCAGATTCAATCCAACAACCTATACATATAAAAATATATATGAGCAGACAGTCTTCTCTTGTATCAATCATTATTCATCGTAATGCAAGCAATTCAAAACTAATTCACTCTAGTCTTATATTAGACTTAGTGACTAGCTCAATGAACTCACGTCAGTTCATTAGGTCAGCTGAAAATTATTTCTTTTTTTATACATTTCTGCTTTGAAGTAAATTACTGATCAGTTTGATACATATCCACTACTACTCCCATTTATGAAACTGCTAGAGTACGTAAATATATTCTCGAAAATCAAATGATTACCTTGTAATGGTGTGTCATTTTTTGTTCGAAAACAAACATCATAACATCCACGAAAAAATCTTCCATAACATGGTTTTAATCGAGTATTTTTTGCATCTAATATAATACCAATTAAAACAATAATTACTGGCATACCCCATGCATACAAAGCATAAGATGGTAAACGTTCACGAATTTCATACACATAAAGTGAAAAACCTTTATGAAATGTTTTCCAAAGATCATAAGCCATAACATTCATCCAAAAAAAACTTGCCAAATAAAAAAAATGTATTCCTAATGCAAATAATAAACAAACACTAGGTGTTGTCATTATAATTAAACTTTGAGATAAAAATAAAATTTCTGCTATCATTAAAGCAATAATTAAATTGATTGTATTACATCCAGGTAAATTACGTAATGATGAAAATAATGCAAATGTAATTAAAGTTATAGCTAATGCAATTATAGAAAGAAATGTAGCTATAGTTGATAAAATTCCAGGTGCTCTTTCAACAAAACTTAATTTTGTTCCACTAGTTGTACCATTATATGTATCAAGTTTACATACAACAATATATAAATCAGGTCGAAAATGATCATAACGATATTCACG